TCTTTAAATATACTAAGGGTTAGCAAAATGTTAAGATGGAAGTAAGGCTTTTAAGGGATGATACAAAAAGGCTCATATCTAATGATTATGAGATGGTTGGGCTCTTAAATTCTACTTTTTTCTTCAGTTTTTGCTAATAAAGATTTAAGCACTATTTCTCATTCTGAATACATGCTAGATGGAAACAAGATTGAACAAGATGATCTCATTAATTTTGAGCTTGTTAAGGAAAACTCAGAAGAATAAAGAATAATAAAGCTACTGGGTCAAATAATATTTTTCCAATGGTTTTGAAGGAGGTTAAGGATTGGACATGTGAGCCACTTACTACTATTTTTTGTAAGTTTTTGAATAGTGGACAGGTCCTAAAAGATTGGAAGTTGGACAATGTTACTCCTCTTTTCAAGAGAATTTATAAAATTGTCCTAGTAATTATAGGCCTATTTGTCTTACATCAGTGGTGGAAAGAGTTTTTGAAAGTGTAATAAAAAATGCTTTGCAAAGTCATGTAACAAAGTTTAATAGTTTTTTTTGGATAGTCCACATGATTGCATTCTTTGAAGAGGTTACTACTTATATAGGTGGATTTGGCATATCTGGATTTTCAGAAAGTATTTGACAAGGTGCCACATAAAAGGCTTGTTAAAAAATTATTTCTGGAGGTGTGTGGGGAGGAATAGGTTGGCTCATTGGATAGAAAATGGCTGAATGGAAGAAAACCAGAAGGTTGTAGTAAATGGAGTTCATTCAAACTGGATTAATGTCACAAATCGCGTACCTCAGGGCTCAGTGTTAGGATCTTTGCTGTTTTTGATTTACATTAATGATATAAATGAAAGAAGGGTCAATAAATTATTTAAATTTGCTGATTATATTAAAGTTTTGGGTTTTGCTTGCCATGAGGAGTACACTGCTGCTTTAGATTATTTAGAAGATTTAGATTATTTGGTAAGTTGGGAAAACAAATGGCATGTGGCTTTTAATTATAATAAATGCAAGTTAATACATGTGGGATATCATAACTTGAATTATAAGTGTTATGGAAGAAAAGGATCATGTTTTCCTGATTATTCAGTCTTTTAAGCCATCCAAGCAATGTGTTTTTGTTAATGATAGGGCAAATAGGACTAGGTTGTATCTACAGAAATATTGAATACAATTATAATAAGCTAAATAAATACTACATTTAAAAACAATTTCTTTTTGTTTACACAATAAATATTTTTATTTGGGACTGACCTACAGTCATCATTACACTCAACATGTTTTGACTTTTGACTTCTTATCATGTCATCTTCAGGAGTGTCCAAGAAGAAGTTTTAATAAGTCTAAAGAGGTTACAATTTCATTGTATAGGTCACTGGTTAGGCCACATTTGGAGTATTAATTATGTGCTGTCATGGGCTCCTTACTTTAAGAATGACATTGATTTGTTGGAAAGGGTTCAAAGGATGGATACTAGGATGATACCAGGAATAAAAAGGTTGTCATACGAAGACAGTTTAAAATCTCTGAAATTGTTTTCCTTTGAAAAATGAAAAGTTAGAGGAGATATGATTGAGGTGTTTAAGATTGTCTTTCAGTGCTGGGTTGTTAATCCACTTCCTCCAGCTAATAATATACTTTGTTATGGTAGAACTAGGAGACACAAATATAAAACTATGACATTTCTATTTTTCTAATATGGTGATTGGTCTTCGGAATGGGTTGCCTTCAGATGTGGTGAATACAGCAGATTAAGGGAGTTAGAAAGAAAGCTTTATAAATATTTTAATGATAAGGGCTGACTTTGAGTGTTTTATTTTTATCTTAAAGTTTGTTTAGTGGATGGAGTGACCAAGATGAACCCACGAGTTCCTTATTATCCTTAAATTATACAAGTCAATTATGGCTGATGTCTTATTTAATTTTCTTATAGATCCTACTTGTGATACCTGTAATATTCAACTGAAAGCTTTAAATTATCATTTTTTAATAATTTCTTAAAGGAATTTTCAAAGAGTTTTGACAAATTTGTGTTTTTTTAACGTTTAGAACAAAATATTTGTACCACATAAAAAGAGATATTCAATGACTAGTTTATTGCATAATTTCTAGTGTGCATGCATATTTCAGAGAATTAGGAATGTTTGATAAGGTAATATGATCCACAAAATAGAGATGGTGAAAAGAGTAGTTGAGTTCTGAGAACTAAAAGTTTTCGTATAATTAGCCATGTTGAAAAAAAAAGACATCTCAAATTTTATCATTGACTTTTTACTCCAGTAGAATCACCTCTAATAGTTTTGAAGAAAGTTACTTTGTTCTCATGCAACAGGTTCAGACTTTCTGGGAGTTTTTCAATAGAATAGACGCTGTGGCTAAATCTCCGTATATCATCAGGTAAAAATATAACCACTTTTTACTGATCACATGTGTATAAAAGTTTTGTTTTGTGATACTGTGTATTGTTTTTATGAACCAAAGGTACATTTATTATTATTGTACCATTCAAATATTTTAGTGCATGTTTTAAACAATTCTTATTGTTCAATCCAGAATATGTGTAATTCATACCTATAAATTCATTATATTCTTATTCTTTTATGTCTAAAATACTGATTGAATTCATTCCTGTTACAAGCCTAAATTATTACCGCACTCTGTGCTCCTCTCTGTTTCAGAATCTTACGAACATTAATCTACATGCTGTATCTCATCCATTTGAATGCTTGTGCCTATTATGCCATGTCTGTGTGGGAGGGGATTGGCTCCAATGACTGGGTGTTTCAAGGTGAAGGAAATGCGTAAGTGGTGAACAAACAATCAGAAGAGTTAAAGAGCTGGATATAATGTTGTGAAGTGTTTGAACAATCAATAACTTTTTAGATGCTCCTTATTTTCCAACACTTGATGCTTATCTGTGTAATAGTCAGGACTCCAAAAGAACACTTGAAATTACGAGGGAGAATCTCACTATGTTTCCTATAATGTATCGAGGAACAAAACTTTTCTCAGATTTATGATAAAATTATAAAAACTAGTCATAAAACACTTGTACTATCATGATTGTTTGATTTGATCACAGTCAAAGCATTTATGTGTGATGATGTTTCAATTCTTAGGTAACTATATAAGTAGTTACGAATGTATGAGAAAAACCTCTCAGAGAAAACTTTATAATACTTATAATGTTTGTATAACATGTTTTGTCCTGGAGAGTCAAACTATGTATGAGTAACAATAAAGTGAAAACAATAGTACTGAAGAGATGTTGGCATATTATAAAACTTCAACACTTTCAATAGCACTCTTTTAAGAGATATGTTTGGTATTCAGAATAAGATTATGATTTTTTCCACTATTTGAAATTTTAGTATCTACTTTATTTTCTATTTTTTTTTCATACTTGTATTATTAACTAGTGAATTTACAGTTTCTAATTATTATTTTAAGAAAACATAATTTTTGCTGTTTTTTGTCAATAAGATTTCAACTTTTTGAATGAATAAATATTACTTGTTTCCAGATATGTTCGTTGTATGTATTTTGCCACTAAAACAGCAACATCAATTGGAAAAAACCCCAAACCTAAGAATGAATATGAATACATCTTCATGACATTCAGTTGGCTAACTGGTGTTTTTATATTTGCTTTCTTAATTGGTCAGGTAAAGTTCTTGAAATTGAGATTATAATAGAATTTATAGTTTAGTCTTCCTAACTAAAGTTCTTTTATCAATTACATAAAAATTTTATATTATTTAGTTATTTAATAAACCAAGAAATGTATATCAATTAAGTATTTTTTTTTAACCAAAGTGAATTATTAGAACGTTAAATCAAACATAAGCATGTAATATCATGATCACATACCATTCTCTATTTTGCTGTAAGGTTCTCTGTCAGTGTTTGTAAATCTTTTAAAATGTCTTTTTTTGGCTCTTTTTATGGTTTTAGATTCGTGATATTGTTGCCACAGCAACCCAAAACACCACTCAGTATCAGCAAGTGACAGACCAGATGATACAATACATGCGAAATCTCAACGTGCCTGAGAACCTCCAATATAGGGTTAGACTATGGCTAAACCACACATGGGAGCAACAGAAAACACTATGTATTTTTGACCGATTATTTGTTGAATTCTTTCTCTGTTGGTGTTTTTAACTTAATGCTCTCAGAATCATAAGTTACTGAAAAATAATAACATTCTTGTAAAGGTTATTGTTGCCGTTTAACATAATATAACATAAAATTTGAGGACAAAAGCCAACCCTTATCATTCAAATATTTATCAAGCCTTCCTTTATATTTATTGTATCCATCACACCTGAAGGCAACTCATTCCAGAGGCCAACCATTCTGAAGAATAAAACTGTCTTAATTGAAAATTACTCCTACCCTGCCCAAATTTATTTCTGTGTCCTCTAGTTCTACCATTCTCACCATTAGGTAGGGAAAAAAAATATGATACATCAACACTATTAAGTCCTTTAACAATCTTAAACACCTCAATTAGATCCCCTCTAACTTTTTTTAAGAGAAAACAATTTCAGAGATCTAATCATGGTATTATATGACAGTCTTTCCATACCAAGTATCATCCTAGTATTCCTCTTCTAAACCCTTTCCAACAATTCAATGTTTTCTCTAAGGTAAGGAACAAAGACTGAACACAATACTCCAAATGAGGCTTAACCAATGACCTATGCAATGAAATTATATATCCTTCTTAGATGGGTATAATGAATATTTCTGTTGATAAAACTTAAAATCCTATTTGCTCTAGCACTACCAACAGCACACTGCTTGGATGGTATAAGAGAGTGATCAGCTAGAACAACAAAATCCTTTTCTTCTTTAACACTTTTAAGGCTATTCCCATTAAAATTATATTTATAAGTCAAGTTATGATATCCCACATGCATTTATCGTAATTAAAAGCCATCTGTCATTTATTTGTATAACTCATTGAGTAATCCAAGTCCTTTGAAAATCCTCCTCACAGCCAGAAAC